GAGAAGAAGTGACCCACAGCAGGCACAACACATGTATTATATAGTGTCTCATAATCAGGAAGTTAAAGACTGTAGAGGCATTGTTCTTTGTGCATTAAAAAGTTACAAGACTAGAAACATTCTTGTAACTATTCTACTGTTGTAAACCTAGGGGCATCCTGTTAACACCCAGGAAGCCCTTTTCCAGAGTTTCTGATAAGTGTGCAGGTGTAGAGGTCACAGCATGGGTGAAACATTGTGGCTTTGTCATACTCAGAATTCTCCATTGCTGGGAAGTGGTGTGTGATCTCAAGGTCAAGACTGATGTGACTCTGTGTCTCTTCACAGAGCCTCTTCAGGCAGGGTGTCACTAGAGCAACTGGGCAACTTGACTTTTACACAGGAATTTCCCAGGGCAAGTGCATCACATCCAAGAGGCAATCAGAGAACCTGATCCATGTCACCTCTTTCCACATCTCCCCATTTTTTATTTTTAAGCACAAATGATTTGTTATTATTTGGAGCTGTCAGATTTCTCCACAGAAGATCCTATTGTTATAACACAAATGAAAATTAGTAGCAAACACACAATTCCAAGAATGTACCATATTGTATGTTTTAACATATTCCAAAGATTAAAACCATTGAAGTCATCAAGTATTCCTTTAACAAGCCATGTGTATTACTAAGATCATTTCGGATCCCCTGAATCTGCTGGATGTGGTGATAGAACAACATAAGGCTGGACTATCATATTTTTTTTTTCTGCCAAATGCCCATTAGATGGCTTTTAAGTTTTTCCTAATCCCCACACTCAAAAAATAAAGTGGACTCATTACATAAAGGACATCCTTGCTATGATTTTTTTAAATAAATTCTGAAAGACACATCAAGTGTCATGACTTGTTTACACCTACAATGTGCATATGCCAGCAGTTTTGACTCTTACTGCCTCCTGCCCATTGAGGAACAATCCAACATTCTACATCCAGAAAAAACTCTTATTGTACCACACAACAGTCTTATTTAAAAAATTGTATTCAACAATTTCAATTTTCCCAACAAAAGCACACTCAAAGTTAATTCCTCTCTACCTCTTGCCTACTTACGGATTCCCTCCTGCTTTCCTTTTCTGTTTTCCTCTCTTATTTTTTAGGTTAAGAATTTTCATCAAACACTGTTAATGTTTAGCTACGTGTCCCCCAAAAGCTCATATGTGAGACAATGTAAGAAAGTTGGGGTGAAACGATTGAGTTATGAGAGCCATAATCCAAGCAGAGCTTCGACCCACTTGAGTGGATGAACTCTTGGTGACTGCATGCATGTGGGTGTGGCTGGGGGAGCTGGGGGGGGGGGCAGTTCCTGCAGGATTTACATTTATTTTTGGTTAGCAGAGCTCTATTTCTGCTTTCTGGTTGCCATGTCTGGAGCTGCTTTCTTCCATCATCCATTCTGCTAGATGTTCTACTTCACCTTGGTCCCAGGGCAATGGACAGGACATCTATAAACTGAGACCTCTGAAACCTGCCTGGGACAAACAGTCCCCCCTCCGCATTGTTTTTGACAGGTCTTTTAGTCACAGCTGACAAAAAACTGACTAAAACAAGGCCCAATCAACCATGCTGGCCCCAGGCCAATGCACCCTATAGCCACCCATAAGCTTCTCATGTCTTAACCTCTTGTGTTTTGCCTTCCTTTTCATCTTTTCCAAGATGCAAGAAGTTCAGCCACTCACTTCTTGGGCTTTGTCTTCAATCTCCATCACACAAATTATATTTGCCCTTTTTTTTTTTTTCTTTTTTTGGTACTGAGGATTGAACTCAGGGGTGCCTAACAATTGAACCACATCCCCAGGCCTTTTTTTCTTTTTCTTTTTCTTTTTTTTAAGTTTTTATTTTGGGACAGGATCTTGTTGAATTGATAGCTGCGCCCCCGGTGTTGGAGTGACCTGAGAGCTGAGGCTGCCCAGCGCCGTCCTGTAGAGCAGTCCTGCTGAATGCAGCAGGCAGGGGCTCCTCTCCTGCTCCCTGCCCAGGTGACTCTGTGCGGAGCCACTGGGCTGGGTGGGAGGGCAATGCTGAAGCTCCGCCCCTTGTCTGCCCGGTGACTTCTGGGGGACCATCACCTCCCCTGTAGCCCAGGGCCCCGGCCAGCTGGGTCCAGCGTCACCACTTCCCCAAACCTCCAGGCCTAACAGGTCACTGGCTCTGGGATCCGGAGCCCTGCCAGATTCTCAGCCTCCCTGGCTGGAGACAGGCTGCCCGCACCAGCGCAGGGGGCCAGCCTGAGTGCAGAGCCTGCTCTTCCTGTGCTCTGGGGAGCAGCAGCCACTTCCACAGGGACACAGCCTGCTGAGTGACACACACACCCTGGCTCAGCCTCGCCCTTTGCTCCTAGGACCCTCCTGCCTTCTTATCAGGGGCTGTGTGTAGCCCCGGGGCTCAGGAGGCTGATCACCACTACCACCTGGGAAGAGGCCAACACCCTACTCCTGAGTTTAGTTTCTTTTTTTTAGGTTTATGCTAAAAATGTGATGTTGAAGTCAGTGCAAAAATATGTCACCAATTGTACAAATTAAAGGACAAGGTGACCACACACACACACACACACAAGTGTGTCTGAATTCATGTCAGCCAGTGGTCAATTGCCACACAAAATATTTGATAAAATAATGATATAAAACCACTATGATTTTATATGAAAATATTAACATAACAGCAAAATTTAAAGAAAACTCAAAGCCCATAGACATCACAGCTCTTATATTACACCACTAGCTGCTAAAGGTGAAAAATCACAATTCTTTTTTCTTTCTGATTTCACAGCCCCTTGCTCTGTCTCCAGCTGAGCAGTTACAACTCAGTGACTCCCAGGAACACCCTTCCCTTGGGTCCTGTCTCAATGTTGGATTCTACCTGGAGTTTCTTCAGGTAGAAATAAAACAATGTTAGAAAGGGGAAATTACATATCTCTTCCATTGACCTTTGAGAAAATTCTGAAACAAAACAGAGCACATAAACATTAAAAAAAAAGTGGCTAAACTATGAAATATGTGTCTGAGGTGAGAACAGCTAAGAAGCTAAGAAGCTCCAGCTCTGGCACACTCTCCAGGACCTGGGGCCACACCAGCTTCAGGGCTCACCTTGCACGTGGCTGAGTTTGCTACAACCTCACCACACTTAGGGGATTCTTCAGGTGACCTGACCATGAGGGCATCAGTGCACCAGGAGTAAACAGCCAGGACACAACCCTGAGGTTGCTGAGCAAGACCTGAAGTCCCTTAGAGAAGAGGGCTCCTTACCACCCTGCACCTGAGCTCTATGGAATAGCAACCCCTCCACATCCAGGGTCTGGGAAGCCATGAGAGATCCAGGTCTATGAGACACCTGCACTGGGGTTCAGCACCAGACCCCACCCAGAGACTTTGTGCTCCATTCTCAACAGGCATTACCCAGGCAACCCCAGGGCTGAGGCATGTCAGAGGCAGATTCAGGAGACAGCTGATCTGGTGGGAAAGACACCTTGACAGCAGAGCAAGATGGCTGGGAGTCAAGCACTCAAAGCCCAAAGACATCACAGCTCTTTTATTGCACCATTAGCTGCTGAAGGTGAAAAGTCACATTTCTTTTTTCTTTCTGATTTCACAGCCTCTTGCTCTGTCTCCAGCTGAGCAGTTATACTTCAGTGACTCCCAGGAATGCCTTTTCCTTGAGTCCTGTCTCATTGTTGGAATCTACCTGGAGTTTTTTCATGGTCACTACTGGAATAATATCTTCTATTGACAGAGGAGCCTTTAGAGACACAGTGGGAAGTCGTTAGCTGTCCACACTGTCCACATCTTGCCCTGCTCCTCCCCTGGCTTCTCAGAATTCACCTGGGCTCTGTGTGGTCAGAGATTCAGCAGTCAAGGCTCACATCTGCAAAACCTCACAACTCAAGGTGACACTCCCACATGCCTAGGATCATTGCAGCCCTCAGAGCCAGTCCTGTAAGCTGCAGCTGCAGCTGCAATGGACACACTGTGTTAAGGACTCCAAGGAAGGGACCCAGGCCAGGCCCAGACCTCTGCCCACCAGACAGTTCTGAGATGGTGGGAGTTTCCTCTGCATGGGAACAGCACTATTTTTGTTCACATTTTGGGACCCTGGACTGAGTTTAGTGTTCCGAAGGACTGGGATGGTTACTTTGCTTCATGGTAATAAATGGAAATTCAGCAGCACATCTGGCTCATGTCCATCACTCAGGGGAGGGCTCCTCTGGAGATGACACTTAAGAAAGAAGGGGCCTCTCCTCCTCTGGTTCCTTACAGGTATTTATCAATAGCCTGCATGTGCAGAATGCTTTCTTTTCCAAGAAGCAATTTAGCTGCAGCCCTGCCTGACCTAAGTGGAGAGGATATGTCACATTCCTTAGCAAACTACCTGTTCACTGCAGGAGAAATGCAGGCCCAAAATAATGTTGATAAGAGGAGCCCAAGTTACCCTGAAGGAGATGAATTCTGTGACCAGATCCCCACACTCCGGGAGATGAGGCTAATTCCTCCCAAACTGCTGACCTGACCTGCATCCCCTGCCTCTGCCAGTGGCCCTGAGGGGAGGAGCAGGAAGCAAGCGCCAGCCTCCAGGCTTCAAGGGAGACTTGCACAAGTGCTCACAGCAGACACAGGGCTGCCCCAGCTCCCTGTGCCTAGGGAGGGACACAGTGTCCAGGCACACTTAGGGCTGGGGCAGGCCATGCTGTGCTCATCTCCTCCTCTTAGCACAGGGAACCCCCCTCCCCTCCCAGGTCAGGTGTCCTGCTGTCTTCCTGCTGCCCCTAGAAATCCTCCCTCTGCAGCCCAAGGCCAGGGGCTGCCTGCAGGTGCCCCCATTTACATGTCAATCCCACACAGCAGGGTCCCCCCCCTCAGTGCCCCTGGGAACCTAGGATCCAGAGGAAAAGGACTTCCAGGGCAGTGTGGCCATGAGAAGGGAGCTGCAGATCTGGGCCAACAGAAGGCATTTCCCAGCCCAGTGGTCTCAGCTTGTGCTGACCCCTGCAGACCATCGGGTGCTAATTACTATAATGTATTCCCCAGGAATTGGCAATGCAAAGGGAAAATCAAACCTGAGTCCATTTATATTTACATTTACCTGAAACACCCACAGTCCTTTGTTCAGTCCTTCAGAAGAGCCCAGGATGTTCTTCCTTAGGGAGGCTGGAAAGGGATACTGGGGAGTGTCCTGTCACAGGCTGAGGTCACCCTCCCTCCTACACAGAGCCTGCCTTTCCTTTCCTCCTCCCAGGCAGGAGGCCATGTCCCACCCTGACCCTCAGCCCCTGAAGGAGGCCTCTCTCCTCTGCTGGCCACAGTGTTTCTGGCACCACACAGACACCACGGTGGGTGCCAGACATGGGAGAAAGATTGTCCACATGTGGTGACATTTATATTTGGGGTGACATGAAGTGAAGAGTCACAGCTCAGGTGGGGAGGCCTGGAGTGAGCCTCCCCAGGCCTCCTCAGGCTCCTCCTCTCTCAGGTTCCCACCAGGGCTGGGGGCAGGTGCTGCCCTGGGTTTAGCTGCAGAAGGAAGGAGCCCTGCCCAGCTCTCCAGGTGTTCAAGACCAGGTCAGGGCATTCTGATCCCTCCTGCTAAAACCACATTCAGGGAAAAAGGGAAGGGACAGGTGTGAAGCCCCAGGGGACCCCACCACTGGATGCCACATTATATGGAAGAGCAAGAACATGGGATCCTGCAGACTCAGTCCTGGTCCATGCCCCACATGGGGGGCCAGGCCACAGGGGTAAACATCCTAATGGGTGCTGAGCCCACAGCAGAGGTTAAAGTATTCCCAGGAAGATGGTTGTGTCAGAGTGTGTGGGTCTTGGAGGTGAGAACCTGCCTGCAGCACAGTTCCTCACCCAGGTCCTGTGGGCAGCAGGGTCCTCCAGCTCTCCTGGCCTATGCTGTACCCTCTGAAGTAAAGCCTGATGTGGTGGCATACAGTGAACTCATGATTTGAGTGTGAACTGTGTGTATTGAAGTATGAAAGTAATCTGAAGTATGAAGTTAATTTGAAGTTTACACACCCACTACACCCACATTGTAATCAGGAAATCAGGATGTGGGATTTGCTTGTTTTACTTCAGGAGTAGAGTCTACCAATTTTGCTGTTATAGGAAATCTGAGCCTAGAGCACGTGCTGCTCAGGAGACACCACACAGATCCATCAGTGGAAATGGCAGGCAAACCCACATGCCTGAGGACTAATGGTCTGTTCAAAGGGGCCCAAGGTTCCTCACCCACAAGGTGAGTTTTGTCCCCACATCTCAAGCCCTCCCCAGCTACAGCAAGCAGGAGGGAGGCTCCCAGGCCAGAGCCAGCAGGAAAGCCCACCTTTCTCCTCACCTAGGGCTTCCCTCAGTGAGGATGGTTCCAGATCCTTCTTGTTTACAGTTGATCCTGAGACCAAGGCAGTTACAGGAAACAATGAGACTTAGGGGAGGCTGGGCACGGTGGGCCTAGGCCTGTGTTCTCCTGTCCAGTGAAAGGCCCCAAGGCAGGTGCAGTGCCCCTAAAGAAAGTCAGGGATGTCACTCTTTCTCATGTGTCTTGATGGAAAATTACAAGCCTCTTGATCCAGGAGGAAGATGGGGGCTCAGGACACGTCCCTCCCACACAGCTGACAGGCTGGTGCTGCCATTGGCATGCCCCCTTGGCCCAGTGTCACATGATGAGAGAGGCAGTCCACCCCACCAAGGAAACCTCCATGTCATCTGTCATGTGTGATGTCAGATTTCCATACGAGTTCATTTGAAAATAAGATAAACCAGCAATTTCCCATCTTACCTAGGCATTAGATGGGCCTCTTCCTATAGCAGGGCCCCAGGAGGCCAGGAGGACACAGAGTACCTGTCAGCAAGCACATTGGTGGGGCTGCTCATGAATTCCTCAAGGAGTTGGCTCCTTGTGGACACAGGACCAGAGTGGACAGAGGAGTTTGCTTCACCAGCCTGGACGGAGCTGCTGCTGGGCCACCGTCCTGGACAGAAGAAGCCTGGAGAGGGAGGAGAGGACAGGAATAGGGCTCAGGTCCTAGCTGTGCAGCTGATGGACACTTGGGTCAGCCTGAAATGTTGAGTCCACAGATGGTGCTGGCCTGTGAGCTGTGCTTTCCTGGATGCTCATGGCTCCCATTCCTCCTGGTGGCCCATACAAAGTTCCTAGTCCAAGGTGGAATTGTTGCTGAGATTGAGAGTTCAAATTCGGATGCCAGTGTTTACTGGTGCCCCATAGAGCCTCCTGAGTCAGAGTGGGGTTTCAGGGAGGTCGTGGAGAGGGCCCTTAGCACACCTGCAGATGGGGTGGGTAGGAACTGTGTTCCTGTAGATGAGCCAGTGCAGAGCCAGAAGAAGAGCAGAGGGCCTGAGCACCTGGGTGCTGGTGCAGAGGGCCTGGGCTCAGACCAGCCTGGAGCTGTGGACCTGGGTAAGTCATGCAATCCTGTGTCCTGGGTCCTCTGCACTGTCATTTGAGCACTGAAATGTGCCTCCTTATTTGTATCATGAGGCTGAATGTAACCAGATGCAGGTGAAGCTTTAGCATAAAATGGCTGGCTCAGCAAAAACATGCATGGCCTTTCAATTTTAAATATCTGGGAGGAAAAGTCACACACTAGCTAGTGGCTGCCTCCAGGAGGGAGTTGGTGGTTAAAGGCAGGGGAGGAGGAAGGGCTCCTCTCCTCCACTGTTGGGTGAGGTGATCTGCAGCTTCTGGGAGCTTTTACATCATGGCTTATGATCCCCAAGTCGACCTGTGACATGGTCTGAGTAGAAATGCTGACACCTGCCTTATAGTTAAGGACAGTGATATTTAGAGGAAAGAAGTGACATGGTAGAGTAACAATATTAATAAGCAATGGATCTGAGACAGTTAAGTTTTTGCTTCTCTGGCGTGAGAGACCCCCAAACCTGAGACTCCTTTTGTCTTGCCATCAGCTCCCCCTACTCACTCAAACATTGTGACCAAAGATTTTTGCAGGGACAACAGCTGACACCTTAGAAGAGAGGGCTAAGCCATTAGGGCTCAGGTCCTTGACCAGCCTCTGTATCTATTTTGAGTCCCTGATCTAAATGGGATGTACTTTTTATCAAAGGAAGCTCCTCTGAGGACAGGATGAAATTTAGATGGGGGTCACTGTTCAGCAAGTTCACAGTGCCAGCAGCATCACGATGGACCTTCCTGGAGATGAGGGCAGCACTAGGGATACCTTTGTCCACTAAGCTCCAAATGAATCAGAACACAGGACATTCCAAACCAACTGTCACTGCCAAGAGTCACTTCCCTTCAACTGACAAGGCTGGGCAAGCAGTTCCTTGTGACCCCTCTATAAGTGTCACTGGGCTGGTGTTTCTGTGGCTACTGAAGTAGGTCTGAGGTCCTCACTGTGTCACTCAACCTGGATTGAGAGATGTCTGTGCAGCCTGGACCAAGTCCTGCTGTTGATGGACACGGGCTGTGGCTGCTCTGAGTGTGCCCTGTTCACTTCTTCCTCACCATGGGTGTGCCTGCACACTCTCATCCCTCCTGAGACCCCTCAGTGGCAGGAGACATAGCCCAATCTTCTCCTGGAGGAACCTCTTAGCAGCCTTAGCCTGAGACCTCACCCCAGGACAGGTTCTGGGGACCACCCTGTTCTTCCCTTCCTTTGTCTCCAAAGGTTCACTTAACTGGGAAGCACTGTCCCTTCTCTCTAATGGAAGCATCCTGGTCTCAAATAGTGGTGATCCTGTCCTTACAAATGTGTGGCGTTCCCATGATAAAAAACATTCCATGTATGTATTATATGTCAAAATTCATTTGGCTGTCATGTATGACTAAAAATAAATAAATAAATAAATAAATAAATAAATAAAACATAGTTTTTAAATTTTAGTCTGTGTTTCATGATCATGCCTGTTTGGAACTGGACTTTGGCTACATCCTTTAGAGGAGTTTAGGTTTCAGTTACCATTTCTTCATCATGTTTGGTACCCAGTGGAGCAGTGCAAATGTGTGTCCTCTATATCAAATCCCTGGAGCATCTACATGCCAGAGAAACATACTTTACATTTACAATATTTGTTGGAATATGAGTGAGGGGTTGGATATCAACATGATTATACTCTGAATATTTGTGTTATTCTCATTTTCTAGTTCATTGCATGAGACTTAGAATACATATTTTAATGAGAGTTTGCTGTCTTCTTATAAATATAAGCTTTGTATATTTCTATGAACGTGTAAGTGAGCACAGACAAGAGAGATGATGGTAGGTTACTTAATTTTCAGTTTAAAAACACTATGAATTTCCTTAATGAGAAGACAGTTATTAGATTTTCTTATTTAAATATTATAATTTATTCATTTTTTAAAAAGTTATAAATTTATCTAAATCCGTATAAAATCAGCATTCAGAATGGCAAAACAAAATAGAACAGTAAAGACATAGACATATATAATATATGGCATTATTGGAAGCCAAATATTTTGACTATTTCAGGTTCTGGTTGGGTCAGTGTACCTAGAGCAGGAAGGTGGGAAGAGGCCACCAGGCTGATGGTGCCTTGTGGTCTCGTGACAGTATGAATGGGGTGGCTCTGCTCTTTTCACAGAAGACTCAGTAGGTTCATTTTGGTTCCCAGGGTCCAGATACTGCCCAGGACAAGAGCCTCTTCTCCCAGCTCAGCACCACACCACTGAGGCTGGCCATAGCAACCACAGTGTCTGGAACTCTGTGGAGGTGTTTTGAGGCACATGTCCAACACTGAGAATGACCCTAGATCATAGGTGACATTATCACAGCCACGTGATAGGTGGAAACTGTGCCCCGGGGGGTTAAGAATCTGCACTGTCTTGGAACTTATTAGATATGGAGACATAATTTAAACCTGTATACTCTGACACCATAATTCATGTAAAAAGAAAAAAAGAGCCTAACTATCACTTACTTCTCTCGCTCTGAGTGAGTGTAAATGAAAGAGTGAGTGAATGAATAGAATTGAAATTAAAAGAAAACTCAGGTCCCACATAAGTTCTCCTTGTACTGCAATTATTTGTGTTATTCTCATTTTCTGGTTCATTACTAGATACCATTTTTCATTACTAGATACCAAACTATTAGATTTCTAAAAATAATAAGAATAAATGTATTGAGATTTTGAAGATGAAACACCAAATGCTACATTATTATTTGTTGACTCTTTAGAGTTGTTTATTTAGATGAGACCACGTCCCAAATTGGGTTCCTTCTCTTTTCTTTAAGATTATAGCTGTTCAACATCTAATTTGTTCTCGACACACAGAAACATTATGTTTAGAATTCAATATCTACTTGTGATAACCCATTCACGTGAGAACTTCAATGATTTGCTCATTTTCAAAGACAATGAAATATACCAATTCTTGGGCATATCCCCTTATGGACAGTAGGTGCTGTTTCTAGCCACTGCCCTCCTTACAGCCAGGCCTGGGTCTCTTTAGTGAGATCACCTGGCCAGCAGGTCACCTGGCTCACCTGACCTCCTCACAGCCTGCCCTGGGTCTCTCCAGCCAGATCACCTCGCTCACCTGCCTTCCTCACAGCCTGTACTGGGTCTCTGCAGCCAGGTCACTTGCCTCACCTATTCTCCTCAAACCCTGCCCTGAGTCTCTGCAGTGAGATCACCTGGCTAACCAGTCCTCCCCAAAGCCTGCCCTGGGACTCTGCAGTGAGATCCCCTGGCTCAACTGTCCTCCCCAAAGCCTTCCTGGGGTTCTGCAGTCAGATCACATGGCTCACCTATCCTCCTCAAAGCCTGCCCAAGGTCTCTGCAGTTAGATCATGTGGCTCACCTGCCTTCCTCACAGTCTGCCATGGGTCTCTGAGCCAGGTAACCTGGGCTCACCAATCCTCCTCACAGCCCACCCTGGGTCTCTGCAGTGAGATCCCCTGGCTCACCTGTCCTCCCCAAAGCCTGCCTGGGCCTCTGCAGCCAGATCACCTGAATCACCTGATCTCCTCACAGCCTGCCCTGGGTCTCTACAGTGAGATCATCTGGCTCACCTGTCACTCTCACATACTGCCCTGGGTCTCTGCAGTCAGAATCCCTTGCTCACCTATCCTCTTCACAGCCTGCACTGGGTTTCTGCAGTTAGGTCACCTGGCTCACCTGACCTCCTCACAGCCTGGTCTGGGTCTCTGCAGTGAAATCCCCTGGCTCACCTATTCTCCTCACAGCCTGCACTGGGTCTCTGTATTCAGGTCACCTGGCTCACCTGTCCTCCTCACAGGCTGCCCTGGGACTGTGCAGCCACATCACCTGGATCAACTGTCCTCCTCACAGCCTATCCTGGGTATCTGCAGTGAGATCCCCTGGCTCAACTGTACTCCTCACATTCAGCCCTGTTTCTCTGCAGTGAGATCACCTAGCTCCCTTGCCTCCTCACAGCCTGCGTTGGTCTCTGAAGTGAGATCCCCTGGCTGACCTGTCCTCCTAACAACTTGCCCTGATACTCAGCAGTCAGATCACATGGCTCATGTGTTCTCCTCACTGTCTGCCCTGGGTCTCTGCAGCCAAATCACCTGGCTCACCTGTCCTCCTCACAGCCTGCCCTGGGTCTCTGAAGCCAGATCACCTAGCTCACCTGTCCTCTTCACAGCCAGCCCTGGGTCTCTGAATTGAGAAGACCAGGCTAACTTGTCCTCCTCACAGCCTGCCCTGGGTCTCTGAAGCCAGATCACCTGGCTCACCTGTCCTCCTCAAAGCATGCCCTGGATCTCTGCAGTAAAGTCACCTGGCTCACCTGTCCTCAAGACTTCCATGGGTCTCTGCAGTGAGATCACCTGGCACACCTGTCCTCCTCTCAGACTGCCCTGGGTCTCTGCAGTCACATCACCTGGATCACCTGTCCTTCTCACAGCCTGGCCTGTGTCTCTGTAGTCAGAACCCCTTGCACACCTATCCTCCTCAGAGCCTACACTGGTCTCTGCAGTAAGGTCACCTGACTCACTTGTCCTCCTCACAGCCTGCCCTGGGT